GATATTCCAACTTTCCGGCTTCTACTGTACCCCCAAACCAATATCCCTTAGGACCTACGAGAATCCCAAATCCCCAAACCTCAATGAAACCTTGTTGGATATGGTCAGCAGCCGAATCTGCAAACCCAGAACCCTAAGACCGAACAGTAGAAGCTACAAAGTTAGAACATCATGATCCTGATGCCCTTAAGGTCAAGTATAGGGAGTCCTGGCAGTAACACCAACAATAAAGTCAGATGTGAACAGGATGGGTAAGAATAAGAATAATCAGAAGATAGTAACAAAAATACTGACAACAACAGAAGTAATACTAATGATAGCGGGAACAGTAATAAATAATCACCATCCTCCTTAATCCATGTCCGGGCGAGGTTGTGGCCTGCAGCTACGAGGCTTACTTTGACCTTCAAGTTCAGCTTCGGTCGGGAGCTTTGGATGAAGCTGCTAGTACCTGGGTCTCCGGGCTTGGAGGGAGTGCAGGTGGGGTTTTAGGAACTTTATTGAGCTTTCGGAGGTCACGGATGTTTGTAAGGATTTTGTAGTTTCAGCGCTTCCAGGTTGTAGACTTCAATGCTTTCAGGCTTCATTTCAGTGCGGGGTACCGCCTTCTCGACTGACGGCCTTGAGTTTCTGCTGATCTCAACCTCGGGGTGCGATCCCGTCCACCGTGCGCTGGCAAAAGAAGCATGCTCGGTTGGTCAAGGCACTGTTGTTGCTGCTGATTGTCATATTGCCAGCACGATTGCTTTTGTCTGCAGTTCTAAGCTTATGGCTGAGATTAGGCAAACCTTCTTCTTTGTTTATTCGAGCTGTTAGGAACTGTCCGTCGCAACTATGTGGCCCTTTGCCACGGCCACGGCGGCCCACTTCGGCAGCGAGAGGCACCCCAAACTTGCGAGACTTTAGCATAAGACTTGAGGTTAAGTGACGGTCGGTCATGTGTTTGCTAGTAAGCCTCGCATAGTACGTACCATCACCTTTGGAAATATTCTATCACCGTCTTCCTGCCGAGACGGGGCTTTGTGAATTCGCGCTCAAGCTCTTCATGTTGTGAGCCTGTATACCTTAACCCTGAATAACCTACCTTTTTAGGGTTCCTCATTATGATTTCTTTATATAGGTCCTTAAAAATGTAGGTTCCTCGGGGTTAAGGTGGTTAATGAATGCTTCCGTGAGTCCTCGCTCCGCGGAAGAGATCCAGTTTGTTGCCCAATCTGCCCGTGTGACTGTGTGACTATTACAGGACCTGCAGATGTTCAGGGTTTCTGGATGTCTCCGGCTTCTGGGTTCCCTGTCAGCTTTCGTATAGAGACGGATGCCGGAGGTAAACCCTAAGAGCTTCGCAATGCTTTCACAAACTAAAACTGCGCTATCTACAGTTTCCGAACTTTCGGGGCTACACGTTTGGTTTGGGGTTTACAAGTAACTGTCGCAGCCAGAGGCTTTGATTCGACCGTTGTAGAGTTCCAGACGAATGTTGGCGACACGAGCTTTAAGAGCCGGCCCGGGTTGAAAAAAACGAACCTGGCAGGTGTGTGCTCGACTTCATTGGCGGGGCAACTCTGCCACACGTGCTGCTGGCCAGGGCAAACCGTCGAGGACGCTGATACTCATGGCCGAACAGTTTAAACATCCAAGGTCGAAGCCGTATTCGTGTGCATCTCTAACCGTTACTCTAACCAGAACGAATTCCACATCGTTTTGCGATACCTTTGCATCAAGGGGCCAGTTCACGCCTCAACCGAAGCAGTTCCCATTGCACACAAATGGCACAGAGTCGAAAATGTCTAGCATGGAACTGTGGGACACCGATTTGCCTGGAGGACTCGGTTTCGACTCCTTTCGACTGCTGTCAAAGATGCAGGCCTTGTGGCAGAGACCGCGGTTCTGATTGTTTTGAATTTTGTTGTCCGTCTTGCATCTTTGCTGGCCTTTCGGGCAGGATGCCGCCTTGTGCGAGATATTGCTAGGTGGCGTGTGCCAACCTGAATGTAAAGCCGTACAGGGCTCCACCGCAAAAAACAGCTGGAACTTGCCTGCTACCTCCTTCCGGCCTGATTGACTCACAGAATCTGATTTACACGCATACATTGACTCTTTGTCTCTCCTCTGACCTCCTCTCCCTGTCCCTCTCCCAGTCTCTCCCTCGCCGCTTGCTCTTTCTCTCTTGTCTCGCACTCCCTCGTCTGTGTCTCACTCTCAGATCTGATTCCCTTCGCTTCGCGCTATCTCTCTTTGTCTCTTTGTCTCTCTCTCTCTCTCTCTCTTTCTGTGTCTCTCTATCCCTCTCTCTTTCTCCTTCTCTCGCTCTTTCTTGCTCGCTCACTCTCAGTCACTGGAAAGCAGGTAGAGTGACAGGTTTGGCAAGAAGATTTGTGGTTTCCATTATAGCGAAAATCCGCAATTTGCCTAGACACGGTAGCTTAAGGTTACGGCCCAGGTTCTTACACGATGTATTGAGTGTAAAACCACTGCAGGGTCCTACGCACTGCTCCGGATCCTCATCGGTACCGGCCGGCGACATCAGATACGAAGCCATAGTGCCCATCTTGGCCATGCCACTGTTTGCCGCTCGCCATTCGATGAATCCCCATGGTCATGCATCTCAGGATAGACGGAGACAGATTTGGGAGAGAAATGGTACGAACTGATTCGGCCAGATGTCCCAGAGAAGAAGCACCAGCTCGGAAGAGATGGTATGACCTGGTGGTATGTGTGTCACCGTCTGTGTCACCCATGTTTAGTAGTAGTAGTCGTCGTCATAGTCGTAGTACTACTGCTACTGCTACTACTTCTGCTTCTTCTACTTCTACTTCTACTTCTACTTCTACTTCTACTACTACTACTACTACTACTACTACTACTACTACTACTACTACTACTACTACTACTACTACTCCTACTCCTACTCCTACTCCTACTCCTACTCCACTCCTACTCCTACTCCTACTCCTACTCCTCCTCCTGCTGCTGCTGCTGCCAGACCTACAACTACCACTACTCCTAGAACTAGTACTAGCATTGTGTACTTGCTAGTGACTGTGCTATTAGTCTTGTACTACTTGTACTAGTTTCCACTTGCGTGCCTTAGCAAGACGTACTGGGATGAATGGCTATCACCTCATGTTTTGCCTTTGCCTTACAGAGGTGTAAGTTGTTGGCTGTTTCTTGTAAATGTCTTGATTACACCAACAGTGGCAAGGTGACGGTCGCTACACCTCTCGCGAGACGTTTCGCGAAGACGGGTCTTTTTGTCCTCGGAACTTCCTGCATCGGCCGCCAACCTGACATTCAAGTAGCTGCGAACAATTTCGGAGGGGTTCAGGGCCCGGGAGGGTTTTTAAATATTGGTCCTGGTTTCCTCGGGCGCGGTCTTCTAGAAGCAGCCGTTTGGCTTCTGAGCACCTGCAGGCCGAATTATCTGACGAGAACGCACGCAGCAGTCGATGTATGCTGTCGCCCCAGCAAGCCCGCACGGTAGTTTACCCTGCTCAGGGTGCGCAGGAGTTGCAGAGTGTGATGTGCAATGTACAAACCCTGCATGCAACAGATTCGTGGATCAAGCGCCACTCAAGCCAGTACACTCGTTGAAAAGCACTATAAAGCGATCTAAAGCCCAAGTTTAAAACCTAAAAGTGCCAGTGCAAGCCGGCCACGCTGGAACCGAACACTTAACCGAAACACCAAAGCACAAAAGCATCAAGCCCAAGGCCTTGAACCCTAATCTAAACCAAAACCTCCAAGCCTGGAGAGTCCGACGTCCGAGTGCGAGCGCCGAAACCCTAGAGACCCAGACCCCCCAAAGCCTTAACGCACCAGGTATTCTGTGGCCTTCCGGGACCTTCTGGGCAGGCAGCAGACGGTGCGAGCTCCGCTCCCTGCCGACCTGCTCGAAGCGATCCAACTCCTCTCTTTGAGGTGCTGTGGGTTCAAGAATCCAGGGCCTTTATGTAAGATGGTGTAGGGTTTAGCCGCTTGGGGACTCCCCTCTTTCAGGTGTACTCTCAACGGGGGGGCGAGATCTTATACGAGCCTTCCTGATCCTATTTTTCTCCGGATTTTCCGGCTAATCTCTCAGGACCCTCAAGGTGTCGCCTTCTCCCCCGTGTACCATGATGTATGCCCCAGCTCTAGAAGGGCTACCTCAAAAAGCCCAAAGCCCTTAGCTCTGAGCCTGAAGCCCTCGACCCTCCAACGGAGCCATGTCATACTGGCTTCTGCACAGGTCGCCACGGCACCAGATATTGCAGAAGCTGCATGAGCTCGGCGAAAGAAAGGATCTACAGAGGGTGAATTGTTGTTTTTGGGGAGTTGAGCGCACTAAGGCGTCGTAGGGTTTATGAGCTTTGCAGTTTGAAACTCAGGCGATCGGGGTTGAGGGCTCGGAGGCTCCGCGGCATCGTGCACTGTCAGTAAGCCCGCGAAGCCCCGGATTCTCATGCTAAGGCCCCAAAGGAAAGCGGTGTGATTAGTAGGCACGGTATTTCATTACCCTGTTGTCGTACGTAACCTCTCTAAACCCGGAACGGGTATGTCAGGAATCTATTCATGAATGTACGCCGCAATGGTATTATGCCGCATCTGCTCCAAGCCGGCATTCCCCCACTGCCTAGCGGAGTCAGAATACACCGCAAAAGTCTGGATCTTTGTATCCGAGGCTTTCTTTGATGGGCCAAACACGGAGGCTAATTGGGGGTTGGGGAGTCTAGGGTCAGACTCTATGCAAAACTTCAAAGCCAAGCTCGTAAGGCATCAGGGCACCAAGCACGCATGCATGCCCGGAAGAGCAAGTTTTCGGATCCAGGCCCGATGGTCTCGGGGATAGGTGTGTTTTCAGCGGGATGATTTCAAGTCGACCAGAGCCGTCGTAGCATCTCCTGGCATGTGCGGCCAGAAACAGGCCCGCTACAACTGGTAGCTCTAGAGAAGCTTCTGTTGTAGCCCGTAGGGAAAGAGGAATCATCGCTACCGGAGAGCAATGACAATGGCGATGGCGCGCCATGCGCGAAGAGGGAGAGGACTGGTTTCTGGGAGCTGGCTCGCCCTTTCGGACTCGTCGATTTTGCATGCGATTATTTTTGGTTTTCAACGGCGCATCCTTTGGACTCAGGGCCGCGGGGACACATCCGTTCAGGGGAAGAACGCAGACCTGCAATCATGCAGGACTTATTCTGAGCTCTGAAGCCTGTATTGCCATGTAGAGCCTAGAAGCCCCCTTTAAGCACACTCAGCTCAGCCTCATGGAAAAGTCTATCCACAGGCGATCTCGGCTGCACGCCGGGCACTTCGCCGCATAAAAGGCCTGGGCCCAGAGCCGCAGTTCAAGGAGGCCAGTGAAGAGGGGCTGCTACATGGGTTACTCTAAGGTTACTATATTTGAAGGGATGCTACAGAGAATGCTACTGGGTTGAGCTTTGGGAGATTTTTAATTTAGTGCTGCTTCTTGGGGTGTTGTGATGCGTCGGCTTGGCTTTTCTAGCCGCCACCTCAGCCGTTGTCTGTGGGCTATAATGCTTCAACACACAACAAGACCCTTCAAATGGCCGGCTCATGAATGGACTCAGCTGAAAGGTGGCTTTGTGCAATTGAAGGGTGCCGGTTGCAGACCTTGCCTGATCTTCTGATATCTCTAACAGCAGCCACTTTCTCTGAGCTACATACATCGCTTCCACACAAAATGGAAACTTCAATGCACACATTTGAAATGAACGGATCGAATTGAAGGGTGTCTGCGTGCAGCTGAAGGATGGCTTTGCATAATGGGGGGATTCGTGACCCTTCAAACCAGGCATCTGACCCTTCAATTCACAGGCAACCCTGGTTTGTACGCGCCGGTTCTCGGGAACCAATGTGTATTCACATGCAAAATTTGCTTGGCAATACACCCCAGGTTGGTACCAACTTTGGCTGTAAAGGCAGCGGCTGTCCGAACAATGATTCTGCTTCCTGCAGAGAAACGAAATGAAGCAGTTTTTTTCCTCTGCCAATACGCCCACGGTTGGCTCAATCTGACGCCGAATTCCTCCGGGCCAAGGGCCCAGAAACCCCAAACTCTTGATCATAATCGACACCCCGGCATTGTGTGGTTCATGTGAAGCATAGATAAAGCACTTACTGCCTCGTCTTCTTCAGGGATCGCATCTTCACTGTTCCAGCACACAGAGTTGGTTACTCGTTTGGAAAAGGTGATCTGGCAAGCTAGACTCTGTGTCTTAAAACCTTGAAAATCAAAGCATCTGTGCATTCTCGATATTCTCGTACCCTTACATGCCAAAGCTTAAACCACAAGCTCCGAGCTGTGCTGGCATCCCAGCTGTTGGCGACGAGGCACGAAACCTATCTCTGCTTATTGTCCTATTGTTACTGTTTCTTCATTCTCACCGACTAAGAGGCATTCGGCAGGATTCTCCGGAGGCTTTCCAAATACCCGAAATCTCGGGAAACCATACGTACATCACAGCCCCATCCCTTGAAATTTTTCGCAAGGGTCGGGGGCTCCACCCAGGCTATAAAACTTAATTGCTAGAGCTTGCGAGGGTTGGGTTTGAGGGTTACGGCTTGGGGTTAGGGGTTTAGTGTTGTATGGTTTGATGGCTCACACTAAGAGCCCAGCTGCAACACAAAGGGTTCTGTGATTTGGATTTGGGTTATTGATGAAGGGGTTTGAGGCTCTGAGGGATACGGTTTTGTAAGGTTTGGAATTTGGAGTTGCAGATGTGTGCCACAGCAGGTGTCATGCGTGTGAACCTACCAAGAGGTCCTGAACCCAGACCCTGTAAGGCCTACACCCCACACGCTTTAAGCCCTGGACTCTAAACCTAAAATGGCCCTGCATTCTTTCTACAGATACTGCAGTTGGAAACCTCGCCTCCGCAGCTGTCCCGCAAGCTTCAACAAAGCAACCGGCACCGGCGACCCAGCCAGCTAGACACCCAAGCCCTTACGTAATTATAACAGTTCTATAGTAGAGTCACCCGTCTCTAAGAACCATTACAGTAGAGCAAAGCCTGTGACTTCTTTAGCTCCCGATCCTTGCGAAGAGGTCTCCGACGCCTTGCCGGAGGCGCTGCGGCGAAGAGCAAGCGATCCGAAATTGGGCACCTGGTTGCTCGCCCGCCTCGGAGGCAAAGGGAAGCAGTCCGAGCCGAGTCCGAGAACATGATTTTAATCTCCAACTCTACGTCGAAGACCTAAATGGGACCCTCACAAGATTCAGCGGTGGCAAAGAATCCGATTCATGGCCTAGGCTTCCATGGCCCCGGACAGATCCCGACTAAAAGAAGCCATGGGAAACGAAAACCCTAACCCTAAACCGGAACCGTGATATCGAGATCTACTATAAGGTTCGAGGCTAGGTTTGGCAACGGGCCCGGGCATCCAAGCAGTGGGTTTATGGATTAGGGTTTTAGGGTTCGGGACTGGGAGAGTAGATTCCTAGATCACACCGGGGGATTCATGTGCTTGTCGAAGATGATGCGGTACCTGGTGCCAAGGTGCACCACATGATTCAAGATAGCGGAAGCCTTGCAGTCTCTGGACCTATGTACTGACTTAACTGTGTGTGAGCGAAGCTCGGCTACCGGCTACCGTTGCGACGAAAGCCGCGGACTGTCAACGAAAGGCTCACATAGGCACAGACATAGACATAGACGAAGCTGGAGGCTGACCCCAAACTGACGCCGAACCCGGTTCATAATTAGCGTGTCGCCCCCCAAAAAGAGAAACTAACTCTCTAGGACAGCAGAAAGCAAAGTTGGCGAAGTAACCCGGAAATCCCAAACGCACTCTGAAGCTTTGAATTCGCGGGCTGCGTGGGAACGGAGGCAGTGGATTTGCCAACGCTGCCGTCGAGCTTCTGCATGTGTGCCTGGAGCAAAATTCCACAACATGTGTGCGTCGTTGGAAATACGTGTGTTCGGGGGTGGGCCGCCGGGCGTTGGACATCCCTGAAAGGGACCAGCTTGTTGAAGAACTTTACAGCATCATCGCTTTATAAGTGGAGCACGGAAGTACTCTGTATGCTCCTGAAGAGTCGGATCAGTTGAAGCTGATGATAGCTGATGTGTCCTTTGTCCCGGCTGAGAAAGTCTTGCTCACCCCTTGAGCCCTCCTCGCCTCTGTTCTGGGAGCAAGGTTGCAAGGCCTGCAGCTGGAAGGAAACGTCTACCACTACAGCAGCGCAGCCCGGTTTCAATGTGTGGGAAGCCTCATCCGACACGGCTTTCTAGGAAAATAGGGTGCCGTATCTTTCTGGGGTACCTGCGAAGGGTTGATTGAAATCAGGGTATGGTTTGCTGGGCTCTGCCTCTGACAGGGAGCAGTACTGACCAAAACCATACTATTTTGCTTGGTATTGTGCTAGCTCATGTGTCGCAAAGGTGAAAGGTGCCTTGATAACAATGCAGCGGCGAGTGTTCCGCTTTTGCTTTTGGGATACTCTGTCTGAGCTCCGGTAATCGCCGCACTACAATTCATGGGCCAACTTACACCCCCCCACCCCCACCCTGAAATTTTCTTAGGTCGCCCAAGTGTCTGGGTAATGGGTAGATTTTTCATTGAGGAATCATTGAACTCGCAGCAGGTTTAAAATCTTTGCTGTTAAAAAATCCTCTCGCTTCTTGAGGAAATGCGATTACAAATAGATGTTATTAAAACTCTTTTTGTTTGTTAATAAAAGTCTTTAGTTTTTGAAAACAGGTTCGCTCAAAAACATCCTGGCTCGATCAGGGGAGTCGAGAACTGTTTACAATGCCTCTTGAAACTGCTTTTGCCGGGGGTGGGGGTTGATAATTCGCTGGCAACAGTCCTCGCAAGACCTTGCAGCACGGTTCGATGAGTCTTTGAGTCAAGAGAGGAGCTGCAGAAGCTCTTAGGGTTTGGGGTTCTGGGGGTACGGTACGAACTATGGCTCTGAGAAAAGGATCTGCGGATGCAGGGTCTTGTCCCCGGAGCTTACGAGGGCTGCAGTGCACCTCTGGTCGTTTCAAAGAACATGATGGTGTGGAGACTACTTACCAACCTAAGGTCCTGACTGCCTGTGTGGCCAGGCTGCAAACTAATTGATGTGTGGCTGGCCTGCATCGTTGTTTAAAGCATTCTAAAGCACAAGCAGCACCCCAAAGAGAGCCGATCATCGAATCTCCAAGCTTTGCATTGGTGTTGTCCAGACTGCGGAGCTGGCATTGCTTGCAGGCATCAGTTCCCGCCTAAGCCGAAAGGCGGTGGCTAGAGCTTTTTGATGGATAGTAACCTCACACTGTATTCCTCGATAGACATACGACAGGCTGTTCATGCCATGGCGGGGATGTCACGTGGCCAAATGCATAGGCACGACAGCAGCCCCATCAGGTGACGAAACAGAGAAGTCTATAATGATTTGTGCACGTCTTTGCGTATGGCAGTGGCATTTCGATGTTCATGGAGTTTATGAGTTCTTGCATTGGGTTGTGGAGCTTGCAGCACTTTGCAATCTTCTGCTTTGTGGTCCTGGGATGACCCCCCGGTTTTCGTTCGATACTGTACAAGGGTCTTGTATTCAGACTATCAGGTCAGAAACAAGCATCGGCTGCGTGGCCTCTCTCTTTGTGCGCTTTTTCACTTGGCAAGGTGCAGTCAAGCACTAAACTTTTCAGTCTAAGCGCTCGAAACCTACACCCAAGTACTTTTAACCCCAATCAACGCAAAGCTTAAACTCAAACATTTTGACCTTGCCCCAACACAACACTAGACTTCGGCCAGGAAAAAGGGAGCTTTTGGTCCCGCGCCTTGAACCTCGCGAACGACATGGCATCAGTCGCTGTGCGGCCGAACCAGTTGAGCTCCGCTTGCCGCATGTTCGAGGGCTGTTCTTAAACTAAGATTGCTTGTTCAGAGCTCCGCTTGCCGCATGTTCGAGGGCGGTTCTTAAACTAAGATTGCTTGTTCAGATAGTTTGTTTATGCTAGCTTGTCATGCTGATTCCATCACGTTACTGCAAATATGAGAACCTCCGCTTGCAGCCTAACCTCAATCCCTGCAAGAAACATCCCATTTCTCGGGCTGGCACCAAGTCTGTCGCTCCTTTCCGACCTTTGCCCACTCTGCGAGGGTTATGATGTTATTTGAGATCATTGGGCGCAGACTCGAAGGAAGAGCCGGCTAGTTACTAGTTGCCAACATGCGGCAGATATGCAAGGTACTTAATGTACCTGTCTCTGCCGACTCCATTAGCAACCCCTTGAACACTGCCGCATACGTGATTTGTGTGATCCTGTTCACCGACACCAGCACCACCATCATGCGCAACCACATCTAACATCGTAAAGCAACAGCGGCACGACCACATCGCAAGGGAAGGAACCTGGCAAGCGTGGGCGGAAGATTTAGGACTCCGGGCTCAGGTTTCAGGATGTTAAGGGTGTATGGCACAGGCTTTGGAGCCCTCATCAGCGCTGCCGAGAAGTCGGGGCTCTGGTCCCGCGCTTTGCACTTGCTTAGTGGCCCGACTTCAAAGATCCAAGAGCTACCGTGGAGCTTTTTGTTGTAATCATCGGTTTGTCCCTGTTGAGGAGGTGCAGTGCACTGAGCTGGTACCGCATGCGGTTGCGAGTGTAGAGATTCGGGCCTTCACGGAGTCTGATCCACGCTTCCTTCTTCCATCACCCACATGTGCCTCAACAATCCTAATCCAAAAACCCTACAGGACCTACACCATACCCATTCTCCTCGGTGGAACCTTGTGGTTCAGCATGGCGGCACCCGCTTGAGGAGAGATGAGGTCCAGTTGGCTTCTGCCTGATGCGATCAGCCGCACGAATGCACGAGTGGTCGCTTTGGAAGGTTTCTCGCTAAGCAATCGCTATTGTTTGCACCAGGTTCTCAAATCTTGATCGCGAAATGGCTACTGTGGTAAGGTGCGCATGTTACAATCACTGGCATGAGCCATTGCAGTTAGCTTGTACTTGTACCTCAAAGAAAATTGAGCAAAATGTTTGTGTCACTCATAGCAAGGCCAGCTCCACGAACGCTACGCTTGCCTCGTCCCTCCAATCTTCCCATGTCTATAACTCCCGAACGCGTTCCGGAACCTTCGAAAGAGTTCACTTTGAGGCTACAGTGCCGGCATCAGCGCCTGTGAGAAAGGGTGCCCTGGCGTGGGGCTTTGCTGTAAGTTTGTCGGTTGAGGCGAGGTGCGATTTTGAGAGGAAGCAGAAGTTCTTAGTAGCTGGATTCCGTGCTCGATGGATACCTGGAATAGCTCTAGTCGCCAGCTGTTGACCGGCTTTGACGCAGCGTCATGCGTGAAGTTTTTTTGGTATAGGTTGAGCGAGCACCGCTAAGAAGAGCATCAACAATGCAAATGCCCGCGCATGTTGGTGCGAGTGGCGACTGCACCAAAGCATCCCAAAGTACCCTATATATGTTTCTTCGTGTTGTTTGTAGGAAAACCCAGATACTGGCAGAAGAGGGCCGAGAGACGGTGATAGCAGCCAAGCGACGCCGGAGCTCTGCCCTTTTCTCACAACATCCTTCGCCCAAAACTCAAAAACCTGCTCCCAGGCCACAGGATACCCCACGGCACCCAGGTAGCTCCTCGCTCCCCTTACGGATCTTGCGTTGAGACAGGTTTCGCTTGTACGCATCCTTGAGCCAGCAAGGCACAGAATTTGCAGTAGAGACGCGTAGAGACCTTGGGTGTCTGGAATGCATCGGTTTCGGCTTCAGGTTGTAGAATTGCACAACTGGTCCTTCTTTTGTGAGGTAGCAGTGGAACTGGGAGTCATTTGCTTGCGGAAGTGAGCCGAGAGGTGTCACTGGCGAGATGCTCTTACGAATCTCGAGCTGATGCCAGTTTTTGGTCAGATGCCGAATATTCTGAGCTACAGCACCTCGGCCGGTCCGAAGCGAGGTTCAGGTTCAGGATGCAAAACCCGCATTCGACAGCTATGCATCGGTGATGCATGCTCCGAAGGGAGTAATAATGTCAAGCCGTCAGACACAGAGGATCGTTGAAACCACAGACTGCGTTATTATGCAGTCGGGGTTACGGGGTTGTCAAAGCCTTGCTTCAGGGTGCCGTTTTGTGTCACCGTCCCCACACCCACACCCCAAGTACCTCGCCAAACTCAGGCTCCTTGAAACCTGAAACTTGGGTCCACGTGAATACCACGCGTTATTTGGTTTTGTGTGTGTCTGTGTCTGTGTCTGTGTCTGTGTGTGTGTGTGTGCGTGTGTCTGTGTGTGTGTGTGTCTCTCTGTGTGTGTGTGTGTCTCTGTGTGTGTCTCTGTGTGTGTGTGTGTGTGTGTGTCTGTGTGTGTGTGTGTCTGTGTGTGTGTGTGTGTGTCTGTGTGTCTGTGTGTGTGTGTGTGTGTCTATGTGTGTGTGTGTGTCTGTGTCTGTGTGTGTGTCTGTCTGTGTGTGTGTGTGTGTGTCTGTCTGTGTGTGTGTGTGTGTATGTGGCTGCTTGTGTGTGTGTGTGTGTGTTTGTGTGTGTGTGTGTGTGTGTGTCTGTGTCTGTGTCTGTGTGTGTGTTTGTGTGTTTGTGTGTCTGTCTGTGTGTGTGTGTGTCTCTGTGTGTGTGTGTGTGTCTGTGTGTGTCTGTGTGTGTCTGTGTGTGTGTGTGTGTGTCTGTGTGTGGGTGTGTGTGTGGGGGGGGGGGTCAGAATGGAAGTCATTCTATGGGACAACTTGGCTTCATTGATCATGCATGTGCCGGAGACGGGCTACTGGTATCTCAGTGTACTCGTAGTCGTAGTAGACACTTGCCTGAAATTCCAGCATATGTGGGGTTATGCATGACATGAAAGACCACACTGTGGTCGCGGTGGACGTTGCCGTCATGAGCGGAATGGTTCAGTCGTATCAACAACGGTTTGTGGGCAAAGGAAGTGGCGGTTGGGATAAAGTTCGACTTTACAATTAATCCCTCCCCCCAAGCCGAGATAGCATCCCTCGTCTTCGGAAGTAGACGCATGAGATAGTTTTAAAGTTTCCCAGGCCTGGGGTGTCCGTTCCTCGGAACCGTCCTGCAATCATGGAAATGTGTAAATTTCCCATATACATGTTCTTGCCTTGTATAGAGTTCACATACTAAGTCATAAAAGTAGATTACAGGCTACTCTCTCCTCCCTTTTAACACAAGCGTGCCTTCCCTGAGATGAGGAAAGGACGAGAAGAGAAGGAGTTCGAAAGAAGCAAACACCATCACTCTGCAGGTGGTGCTATCAGCGCATGTGAGAAGGCCAGTGGCAACCTATGGTCTCTGGTACTGTGGCTGCAACACGGGAAAGCTGTAGATTTCGGGTTTAGGCCCAAAAGGGCTCACGGCTTTGAGGTGTCACGAGGGTTTTGGATTCGCAGGCGGAGGAGTGTAGGATTTGGCTTCGAGCCTCTGGAGTGGTGCAGTGCAGCTGTGCCGGTTTTGGGGTGTTTCCGTTTCGAGGCTGGGCTTGCAAGAGATACCCTTCAAGAAAGGAAGAGACAGCAGAGCGCTCAAAGTGAAATGCAACAAGGCCTTAGCTTCAGATACCTGGGTATAAATTATGACAAGTCGCGTATCTCCAGGTATACGAGCCAAATGAATTATACCACTTTGATGTCGCTGGAGTAAGATGTTCGTGGCCAATGGCGGTATCCAGCCTGCGTCCCGGCAATCGGCATACTACTGCAACATACGGGCCGATGTCTACAACACATATCTATCAATGGTCCAGGGCTTTGTCGTCTATGGGGTCTATAGGGTTATGGTTTAGTGTTGCGCTGTCTATGATATGGGACGGATGGACGGCAGGCACTGGGTCTTTCTGCACTCCTTCCAGAGCGTGATGTGGTGAGTCAGAGCGCATCTGGGACGGATTCTCTTGGGCGCAGGGGTTGACATGCGGTCTGATGTCAGAAGATACGTAGGTTCTGCATCGGCGTAGTGCCTTCACGTCTATTGCTGTTGGTGTACTTGGTAGCCGGACCCGACGCAGTGCGTCTGACCCAGCGGCAGCTGTTCTCCGGCATCTAACTTGCTGGGACCCTTATTCGACATGACAGCCCTGATTTAGGCTTCTCCATGGTAATTAGTAAAGTAAAGAGAGAATCAATAGAAATCGCGGCGAGAGTAGTTCTTTAAACAGGGGACGGCTTGAGGGAACGGTCTCAACATGTCAGGGGTCAACGACAAGTACGGGCGTGTGGCACCTACTTGTTACGTTACGCGGTTGCTGACGATCAAATGAATGTCTTCGCCGCTCGTTGCTTGGAAAGTGGTTGGCAAAGTGGGACCTATTTCCATTTGCGGGCTACCTTATTCCAAAAACCTCATGTTTCACTACATGTCCTGGATTAAAATCTTTATCCCTCTGTCTGGAACCATACAGCGCCTCATGCTGCGGCACCTATTGAGTCTTCAAGGAATAAAGTCCGCTTGCAGCTTGCGGTAGTTATATGTGGGCTGCACGTCAACCTGTCTGCATGTTGCCCAGCGCCCTGGACCCGATGCTGTCCGTTGGAATTATCGTGTCCTGTGCGTTTGTGCAGAGCAGAAATACACGCAGCATGCAAGCCCACACACGCACAAGGTATACGGTGTGAATGACAGTGATATGCATAAGCAACAACACCTCATGCCGTACACACTCGTGTTCCCGTGTTCCCCCATCCTACAAGTACCCTCTTGGCATGGCTGCAGGCCGTCATCAGCGCTGTGGAGAAAGCCGCCAAGTGGAGCCTGGCATTGTCTCTGCTTGAGGCCGCGGAGCGGCGCTTGTGCTCCTGTTGTATGATGTATGCAGCCATGTAGCAACGTTCTTGTCAGGCTAAGGGGGCATTCTGGGCAGCTCTTTCTCAGTTTCCAGTTTGGTCTGATGGAGGTACACATTCGTAAATGACTTGGCCTGGGGGAGGGGCTCAAATGACAACGCAGTAGAGCCGGAGCTGTTGTTGAGCTGCAGTGGTGGCTACTTCTGGGCAGATCGTGAGGAGGTTTGCAGAAACGCTGGAAGTTCAGTGGTGAGTTTGGACAGAGGCTGTTGTAGCCCTTGGAAAAGACGGTTGACTCTGCTGTGCTAAGGCCTCCCACGCACGCGAAACTGAAAGCGATGAAGCATAGTCCGTTTCGTCGTTGGCAAGGAACGACACAGAATCAATTGTCCTGCCCTGTATTGCCCGGCAGGCTCTAAGAACTTGTGTCCTGCTGTCCTTGAAGGAGATGTCACTGGCATCGGTGGTTGCAAACCTGGTCGCTGTCGCAGCATTCAGAACCTTCTTTGCTGCGCAGCGATCGCCCGACATCAGCGAATAGCTTGCAGGGTCGTTTGACCGCATAGTTTGCCATCCCGGCTGAAAAGAGCACACCAATTTCACCACGCTGAGCTGCATATCATATTACATTTGACCATGGTATATTTGTTATATGAGCATATTGTCGTGCTACTAGATTCTGCTCGGTTACATATTTTATATATATATATATATATATATATACATGACATTTTCTGAGCGTTTGGGCCGTGCCAGGTTTCCTTCAACGCAGCCTCCAGCGCATGCGATCGACGCAGCTGTTGGCAGGCGGCCTTCTCCATGCCTCATGGCTGCTTTAAGGGGGCTCACTCGGGGGCCCCACTTGGGGTCTATCTATATTATATATATATATATATATAAACATATATAGATATATAAACATGAACATACATACATACGACGTCTGCTTTAAGAGGGCCTTGGGGGAGCACTTAAGAGCCTATCAACCTGAGTCCGATGAGCCCGCCTGATACAGTGCTTTGCAGGTTTCACTCACTTTCCTCCAAGACGCAGAAAGCCGACCTCCTCAGCTGCTCGGACCGACTCTCCAGACTCTATAGACCTTGAGTTTCATTTTTATCTTTTCCATGTTTCGTTTTTGTACGTCGAGCGCGGTCAGAGTACTAAACAAAGACTATCCCAAAGCATGTGCTCTGCTTGTGAGCAGACTCGTGCTTCCAGCCTCTTATATAATCTCACGAACAACCATGGCATCCGCCTCGATCCAGCTTCTTACGTCTAGAATGTTGGTAGACACCCTACATGATTCGGCCTGCCGTCCTTCCACGCTTGAATAGTCCCACAGAGAATCTAACGGTATCTAACCTAACGCTGTTGGCCAATCCGTATTAGGCTACAACGTCGTGATCAGTGCTGGCAGTGTTGGCCGACCGAGGCAGGTGGGAGTAGATCGCGTCACTATATGTCTTAAGGAGTTAACGACCATGCCCAGGGCGCGGTGCGCCTGTAGGCATCATGTTGCGGCTTGCCAGATCTGCGCGAGCGCAGCCCCTCTAGATCCATCCCAGAGTGGCTTTGAAGCCTAAGACTCTTACGCCCGGCCTGCTATAGTCGCAACCACTGCAGGGATGCCCTCCAGCTGTTCATGGCGATGGCAAGTGGGATTCTCATTTGGCTTCTCATTTGCCGCAGCCGTGTGACAGCGAGGGCGCTCTGAGAGGACATGCTCGAAGAGGGTATGTATTGTCCAGGGCCTGCCGAGTGTTCTGCCGAAGCGTACAGCGATTAGCCCGTACCAGATTTGATCCGTACCTTTCTTGGTACGGTCCCTTGAGTTCGAAAAAGTCGTTCTAATTTTTGACCAGCAGAAGCTAAGGCTATGGTGTCCATAGCCTGAGGTGTCCATAACTGCAGAGCTGCCAGTCCTGTCTGCATCAGGTCGAAAGCTTCTGTTCGGGCGCCCAGCAGTCCTCAAAGGTATAGGGTGAACAATAAAGAGGGTTCGGGGTCTGGGGTTGAGGGTTTGGAGTTTTCTGGCTGTTGGAATGTGAGGTTGCTGCGTTTCAGAATTAAGAGTTTGGGCTTCGAAGGAACTTTCGAAGCTGTGGCTCTACATTCCCGCTCCTCAAAGTTTTGAAACATGTCGGCATTCGTGCCACAAGCTCTTGATCATCAGAGCCGGGCCTCTCAACTTAAACTTTGGGGTCACACAGCATACACATCAGGCTCGACAAATCCTGTACAACAGAGATCAACGAGAAGCATTTCAACATGCGACACAGTTCTGCTCGCCAAACTTGCACCAGTGCACAACGCCGCACCACGACACTTTGGACAACAGGCAAGCCTGCTTTCAATAAAATGCCTGGAGCCTGAAGACCTGCAACACAGGCGTATCCCAATAAATAGCTTCTGCGAAAATTGCTGCAGGGACCTTCCCTGGTCATGAACTCTGATCTTTTAGTAGCCACGAGCACTGAAGCCCCAAGCTGTAGTACGCGCTCTCTGGCTATCTCTCTCTCTCTCTCTTCCTCTCTCTCTCCCTCTGTCTCGCTATCCTAAACCTCACCCCTTTGCAACCTTTTCAGCCCTGCCTGCCTTGGGCGGGTTACGGGAGTCGAAACCCTTATGGAGCTGTGCTAGCTCTAGTGGCGCCAGTCGTGGAGCCTGCGCTGCGCTGTGCGGGCTACTAGTCCGAGTCTGAAAAATACCTATAGTCTCCAGTGTAGTTCCTTTTTTTGGTTTAACCAATTATACGGTTTAACCAATTATACATTAAGGATCCTATAAGGTAACCCGAAAAAGGAACTACAATGGAGACAATAGGTAAGTCTGCCTCAGACCCGATGTGACCACCTTCGCTGCCGCGGAACGCGCGTGTGGAGCTTCGGACGAGAAGGCACCTGCGCAGGGCTGACGCAAACAGGGGTTGCAGGGTATACCTGGCAGTCCCCTAACATGTTGTTTCAAGGATTACATATATATATATATATATATCCTGTAATTAATGATGGGGTTGTCATCACCTCCTCGTTTTGGGTATAGTAGAGCATGGGGCTACATGGGGAGTGTAGCGCACATGTCCTGGAAGGCGTATCTATGTTGTGAGCACGTAACGCACACGGATTTTCGTTAATCTGCGAAGACATCCCACCCCAGAATGATAGCACCCCATGCCAACAAAGGTTCAGGTTTCTGGCTCTGTAAGCCTGGAACACAAGGCATAAGAGCCTTGAGCAGTCCATCCTGAACCGCCCGCTTATCGAATGCTCCACTGCTGGGAAGCCAGGCGATCCCGGAGGTGTTGCAGACCATGGAAAGATGGCAGATCCGACTCTTTCGCGCCAGCTTTTGTTTTCACCATGCCCAAAAGTGGGGGACAGGTGTTGCCGGAGTTCAAATTATTCACGTTCAGGCCATGCACGTGGTTTCAGGGTTCGCACGGCGGGCTGCAGCTCCATGGAACCCTTGTGCAAACTTGAGCCAAGACCTGAAGCTAGGGCAGTGACACAGGTGCAACGATCGGTGTGCAATGAAGCTTTGCATCTCTTTCCTGCCTAGCAGTGCATTGAAATCGAATTTCAACCCATGCCCACAGGCCATTTTCACGTGAATATTATTGGGAAGATCTACAGGGAACTACCGACGTCGTAACGCATGTCAGCAGATCAGGGCAGACCTTCGGGAAAGCGAAAACGCTAGGTCGTAACATTTCGCGGTGTAGTTGGTGATACGGGTTCCTTTCCCTTTAGTATCAAACTTTAGTACTGGAAATGCCTCGTTTGGCGTCCTGGCTGGATTGTGCTTGGTTGTAGTACAAGTTTAGTACTAGAAATGCCTCGTTTGGCGTCCTGGCTGGATTGTGCTTGGCTGTAGTACAACTTTAGTACTGGAAATGCCTCGTTTGGCATCCTGGCTGGATTGTGCTTGGTTGTAGTACAACTTTAGTACTGGAAATGCCCCGTTTGGCGTCCAGCTGGATTGTGCTTGGTTGTAGTACAACTTTGGTGCTGGAAATGCCTCGTTTGGCGTCTCGGCTGGATTGTGCTTGGTTGTTGTGCAACTTTAGTACTGGAAATGCCTCGTTTGGCGTCTCGGCTGGATTGTGCTTGGTTGTAGTACAACTTTAGTACTGGAAATGCCCCGTTTGGCGTCCAGCTGGATTGTGCTTGGCTGTAGTACAACTTTAGTACTGGAAATGCCTCGTTTGGCGTCTCGGCTGGATTGTGCTTGGTTGTTGTGCAACTTTAGTACTGGAAATGCCTCGTTTGGCGCCTCGGCTGGATTGTGCTTGGTTGTAGTACAACTTTAGTACTGGAAATGCCTCGTTTGGCGTCCTGGCTGGATTGTGCTTGG